CTTCTGGTTATACCGGAAGTAGGTATCAACTTGCTTGTTTAAAATGGAACACCCTATATATTATTATATTTTTAAATTCTGCTCTAAATTATAAATATATTTAATGTATAAAATACTATACCTAAGTGTAACCGTTTTTGATATATGTATATGAAATTTTATGTCAAAAATTACATTTGCAGCCGCTCGAATAATAATTCGCTTTTTCCATAAGAAAATAGGTTCTACTTAATTTGAGTCGTATTTCTTGTTGAAAAGGACTTACTTTTACAACCTTACTTACTGCCTACCCCGTGCTTAGCCCCCAAGAACAAAGTAGCCGCTTTTTTGAGACACAAATAAATTATAAATCATTTTTTTGCTAATTGTTAAATATGTTACTATGAAATCTAAAACATTGCAAAACCATGCAAATAAGTTAATGTGTCTGAGTAAGAAAACGCAAAGAAAACACTGAACTTCGCCATTTGATGTTGGCAACGGATGGAGGTCGTTCAGCTCAAATCTCAAATGATACTATTATGGATTTGATAGAAAATGCTGCCCCAAACATAGATATAAGTAGCGATAATCCATATGACACAGCTGCTGCGTTTGAGACAGATCAAGGAAATGTTGTTCAGTCGGTTCAATCCAAAGTTACTCCGAGTATGTATGGTGAATAACCATGTAGATACTAATATATAACATATAATGTTTACAGGTTTCTCATCTGACAAATTTTTGTGGAAACCAGTGGCAAAGCGTGAAAGCAGATGATGTGTTTTATTTGTTAGTTAATTTTTTTAGGTTGATTTAAGTTCTTTTGATAACGATAGCAGAAAATAGCTATCGAAACGTCAAGGTATTTTTTTTTAATTACTACTAACCAATGAAACATTTTTTTCGGTTAAGTTTTGGAAATGTGTATTTATGAAAACCTTTTAATCCTAATTAGAAAAATGTTACAATAACATTTACAGGAACATTATCATCATCAAATACATCGTTAGCAATCAGTTAATTTTGCCTAAATCTAATCAAGGACCCGGACCGAAACGAAATAACTGTTCCGTTCCAGTTTCGGTCCAAGGCAAAATTTAAAATTTCGGTTCCGTTACGGTTCCGGTTTAGAAAATAATTTCCAATTCGGTTCCGTTCCGGTTCCGGTCTTGTTTCGGTTCATTTGGGTTTCAAAATCTATATATATCAACGAACGAGGACAAAGATCCTTTAATTAAGAATCTCACTATCTTTTTCTTTGCTTGTTGTATTATACAAGATAAAAGATGCGCAAACGATCCACTGCTTCATACGGTACTTCGGCTGGTTGTATGGTAGGGGGTAGGAGTGTAGGAGAACTAGCAACCCCACACTAAGATTGACATTCAGGTAACATTAAATGGAACAACATTGCAATAAAGACTCCCATACAAAAATTAATTTAATCGTATTTTTGAAAAGTGATTTGTTAATGAAGTTTCTGACTTTAGCGCTTTGCTTGTTTAAAAACGGAAAGAATCCGTTTTCACTCAGGTCCATAACTTCGTCAATTCCTCTTCTTTCACTCTTATTTCCGTTTAAACATTGTTCTTCCTGGTTCATGTCTTCACCATCTTTTGAGGAGTTGCTTTTGTCCAACATTTCAATTTCAAATGTTTCTTTGTTGGTGATCGAAAAACTAAAATAATTCAACTTAAAAAATAATTTTAAAAATAGTGTATACACATTTTAAAAATAGTGTATGGTGTTTGTTCTTTTCGATTGAAAAGTCGGTTGGTCCTCACAAATAATTGTTTCTCTAAAATTCAAACGTTACAAGCAGAACCGAAAAAAACACCGTAAAATATTTCGGTTCCGGTTCAGCACCTAACAGTGTGTTAATATCAAATATGGGTTCCGTTACGGTTCCGATCCAAAAAAAATCGGTTCGGTTCCGGTTTTGGGTCCATATCGGTTCCAGTCCGGGTCCCTGATACTAATATTGTATAAAACGGTGGCTGCACAAATGATTGATGTTTCCAGTTTGGTTTGAGGGCATCTGCCAAGACAAGGGAATCGTCTTTACCAAGTTCCAAATAAGCGTTCCACAATATTCCTGGTATATTTATATGCCAAACTCTGATTTTGTCCGCGGAAACGACACAAATTTACAAACTTGTATTTCCAATAAATGCCAAACTAGTTTAATAATCATACTGAGTAGAAGACTGACGATATCACCAAGATCTCCAAACACAAGCTACAATATAATATACACTTTATATAATAAGGTAGACATCGAATCATAGAAAACTTACCTGAAAACTAACTGTTGCATAGAATCTTAAACATACCAGCAATTGACTAATGGGTGATATTGCAAGTCCACGATTATACTTTTTCAATAATGGTTCGTTTACCAAAGGTAATATCACCTCAATAGTAGTAGCCTTTGAAAACTTTCGTAAATTCCACATCCGAGAAGAACGCAAAAATATTTTTGCCATCCCGTATATACAGGGTGTCTATTTGAAAATTTCCAACCCATAATATCTTTCTTGTAGTTGAAAATATGAAACTCAAAAAGACCCGTCAATTTTATTTGTAAGGGGGACACTTTAAATTAATATATTTAGCCTCCTTGTTAGAACGCCCCAGAACGGGTATATGTCACCCTTAAAATATTTAATGCGAAGGGGAGTAAAGTGGCAAAAATCAWAGTRATCCCCCTTCTACCCACCATCAGGGGCAGAGGAACACTAATTTTGTCATCATTGTATATTTCCCGCGGAATAATACAACTGTGATACTAAACATWTTTTCTCATAGAGTGCTTATTATTCAMGATATTGCGATGTCTCAAGTTAAATGTTACAYCCGGTATATGGTAAATATCTGGGACACGATCTGTTTTCCTTTGCTGATTAAGAACCGCTTTGCTGATTAAGGCTATGCTCACCTTATAGCAAATCTCWAAACGAGCAACATTTTTCCTATAGATTTTTCGAGAAAATGCCGATTTCTACTACTTTTAACAATTTTTTCGCGCAGTTGCCAGTACTATCATTGCCACTTCCTTAACCACGCGGTCGTTCCCCATGCGTTCAGTTTCCCAAAGACAGCCAAATTTGCCCAAATATCTTCTTTGCGCCGTGCCTTCCCGAATAAATAATTTTTGGGTTTCCGTGTTTTGAAGTATTGCTTTACTTCMCGGACACTATTTTCTCTATAGAAGAACTTCTGGCAAGTATCAACTTTGAATTAACTTTTGGTTTTGATTCAGATTTTCTACTTTGATGGCAGTTTGGCAACGCGGCTCAATTTTTCGGCCATGCGAAGGCAGCGACTGCGCGTAGTCAGCKCAAAACAGATCGCGTTCCAGACCTTTACCATATATGGTACTAACACGTTGGTCTTCGTTAATTTCCTCCTCTATTWCGTCCAAATATTCAAAAATCTCGTCCATTCTTATGTTGTATACAATAGGAAAATCGAAAAATTAAAATGCAAAAACATGCAAACAGTAATATAACCTTAAAACCGTTTGACAGTTCAACGAAAAAGCTCGACCAATGGCTGGGCTGAAGCAATACTCAAGCCATCGTCGACCGATATTTGAGCAAGCAAAGCTGCGAGCACTGGCTTGAGCATGAGAATGGTTTATAAATCGCAATCGAAGCCAAGTCTCGTAATGTAGACTCAACTCAGGTTTGACGTCGTTTATCGTTTCGTTTATAAATACGGACCTTAGCATGATTATAGTGATTTTTTTAATGAAACCTGTAAAGACCTAAATAATCTAAACTGACCAGAATTGAATGAATCTACCTGCATACGATGTATCCAAAGAAACAATTTTTACTAACCTAAAGCGCAGTCACCTCGAAATGGTGATTTTCCTCAAACTTCGTGAGTGTTTTTGTGGCTCAAACGACACGATCACCTGAGGATTGCAATTCGTTTATTCCCAAAGTGAACTACCACGCATAAGTTTTCTAATTGATTTAGTGATTCCCATCATCCAGGAAAAAAGTCCTGGATAGTCCATAAATCAAGCCCAAAAAATACTCACAAAGTTTGAAGAAAATCACAATTTTCAAGCTAATTTTGGAGCAGCGTTGCCAAACTCCGCAAAACGATTTGGTCCATGAAATTTGTTTCCTTGATACCTAGCATGTAGATTCATTCAATTTGGGTCGGTTTACATTTAGATCTTTTCAGGTTACTAACTTTTACTTCTTGAATATATTTTTTAGCTTCATGGAAAAAATAAGTTTAACCATGCAAACATAAACAAACTTAACCGAAAAGAAAAAGTCCCAAAATTATGGGGCAACACCGCATTGTACTGAATTCTCCRAAAAAAGTAAATAATCCGCCATCTGACTATCGACGCGCTAAATAACCGCAATCCGTGAGGTGAGAAAAGATGCCGAAACTTTTGCGAAAAACACAATTACTATGGATCTTAGCGACAATTTTACATGTGGAGATGAATTGTTGATACGTAAAACTCTATTTGGCAGCAAATATAGTCGGACAATCTCATTTGTGTGCATAAATAGGTGGTTTTGGAAAAGCGAATTTCAAAAGAATGTAGGTGTTTTTTTCGCTTTATTTATGGACCATCCAGGATTTTTTTTCGCTAAAAGTGGTTAACTTGAAGGGTTCTTTAAGGTAAAAAAAGAAAAAACCAAAAACTCGGAGGGACTCATCCCCTTTGGTAATTCTTTACTTCGCGATATGATACCGCTTTGCCGAATAAGACAATACTCACTTTATAGGACATCTCGTAACAAACAAGAGCATTCCTATACATTTGTCGACCGAATGCCGTTTTCCACCACTTTTCACCCTCTGAAATCGACCAATTTCCAAAATAAAACAACGATCACCATGATGGTTCAGCTCTTTGCGCCGACGTACCAGTCCAAATTTGTCGCGAGTTGCCAGTACTGTATTACCGCCTTCTAAACATGCTCACTTCCTTAACCTTTTCATGTAAACAAATTATTTATTATACTTAACCTTTTAATATAAAATAGATATTAGTAATACCCAGATAATATATTTTCACTACTTTTCTCATTCTCATCATAAGTATGATAATACTTTACAATACAATCTGGTACTTCTATTGTCGCTTTGCCGATTAAGACTATGCTCCCTCACCTTATAAAAAATCTCGTAATAAACAACATTTTTCCTATACATTTTTCGACCTAGTACCGTTTTCCAGGACTTTTCTGAACTTTCTTGACTGAAATTCACCAATTTCCAAAACAAAACAACGGTCGCCATGATGGTTCAGCTCTTTGTTTTTTTTTCGCGTAGTTGACAGTACTATAGTAGCACTTTCTTAACATTACCACTTCCTTAACCTCTTCATGTAGAGGGTTATTGATTGAACATTGGCCACCCCGTTTTTGCATCTAATTTGAAATTTAGAGAAAAATGTTAAATAGAAAAGTTGTAGATACTAACGTCTTTATTTCTTTTTTTTTTAACTAGGTTTGATAAATTTGTTGGACAGACTGCCCCAGGCTGATGTTGCGCCTGGGGGTGTGCCGGGATGACGTGCCGTTCCAGGAAACATCGACCGGCTAAAACTCTTTCCTCCTTCTAACCCCCTTCTCCTCCCGGAACCGTGTTAACATTACTTCAGGGTAGAGGGTTGCCTGCCGAACGTCGGGTGTCCTGCCTATTGCCGTGGAGATTGCATTTTCCTTTCCAGGTCGCATTTAGTCTCCATTATGACCTGGATCATTGGACGTATGATGCCCCATCCGTCTTTGGTTGCTAGGATGGTCTCCATTGCATCCTTGGTGATGAGTTTGCCGCATCTATCTGCTGCTTCCGCTCTAATGCCTTCGAATTGGCGACATACCAATATGGTGCGCTCTGGTGTGTCCGAATCTTCGCAGAACCAGCATTGATMCGATTCTTGCTTCCTGATCATTTTTAGATAGCTGCCGAAGGCTCCGTGTCCGCTTATTGTTTGTGTAACGWWGTWATTCGCGTSCTTGWACCTTTCCTCCTGCAGCCATACGTTYAGGTCTTTGATGAACACCTTTGCCCATCCTTCGTAGTCGCCCCATCTGTCGGCCCATTTCTGGGTTAGGGTGGTCCTGTGTTGCTTTCTGGAAGCCTTGCCGTCCTCCTGGATACTGATCCGCTCTTCCAMCATCAGGTCCAGTGGAGGCAGCCCGGCCAGCACTTGCGCCACCTGTRTATTTATGGTCCGGTATGCTGCCGTAWTGCAGATAGCCAGCCTTCTGTTAATTMTGTCTAGTAGAGTTCTGTACCCTTTGTACCGCAATGTTTTCTGCCAGGCCTTTGCTCCGTACAGCACCACCGACTGCACCGTGCTGGCCAGTAGCCTTTTCTTCGCCGCTCCAGGTCCGCCTCATTTTGGTGTGAGGCTCATCATTGCGTTAATTATACCGTGGGCCTTGTTTACAGTTTTTTGAACATGGGCAGTCATCCGCATGTTCCTGTCCATGTAAACGCCCAGGTATTCCGCGGCCTCTTGGGTCACTATTGTCTCGCCTCCTATGCTCACTTCCGCAGTTCTAATTTTTCTTCTGTCAGCTACAAGTACGATCTGGGTTTTCTCGGGAGCGATCCTAATTCCCATTTCGTTGAGCTTATGGCTTATTAAGCCCATGTTGTAACGCCTTGTCTTGAAGTCCCTCCAGATCCCTTGCCTTAACCATTAGGGCTATATCGTCTGCGTAGCCGGTTATTGACACCCCGTCCTCCAGCTTCTCCCTCAGGATATCGTCATAGAAGATATTGCAGAGTGTGGGGCCTAGCGTGGATTCTTGCGGGATTCCACACGTCATGTGAAAGGCGGATCCTTCAGGGTCAATAATATTGCGGTCTTCGAAGTATGAGCATAGGATGTTTATGAGGTACCGGTCAATTCCTCTTTGTTCCATAGCCTCCCTTATCTTGTTCCACTGAGCGGAGTTGAACGCGTTCCGTACGTCTACCATGATTAGGAGAGCAAAGTCCCGATGTTGGTAGGCTTTGCGTTCGGTCTCCCTGACTAATTCCTGTACTCGGCTGATCGCGTGCAGCGTGCTTCTTCCTTTCCTGAGTGTCTTGGATAATAAGCCGTGTGCCTATTATCTCTTCGAGTCTCCTTTTCAGCAGCTTCTCGAAGAGTTTCCCCATTGTGTTGATTAGGTACAGGGGTCTGAAGGATCTTTCGGCTCTATCATCCTTGCCTGGTTTTTCGACGAGTACTAGTCTGGCCTCCTTCCAGACTTTTGGGAAGTTGCCCTCAACCAAGCTGAACACTCTCAGTATTAGCTCCCCTTGCGCGTTGACGCTTTCCATGACAACCTCTGGGGGTACACTGTCCGGTCCAGGAGCTTTCTTTTTCTTCATTTCCGAAGCAGAACTGTTCAGTTCCTCCAGACTAAAAGTTGGAATCTTGCCCTTGTCTATACTGTGGAGTTGCCACTGTATGACCGGGCAAGTCGGAAATAGTTTTTGTATCTTGGTTCTTATGTCCACTGCTGTCGGGGGTTTGAACAATCCAAAAAAAAAACTGTTTAACGAGGAATTACCTAACAATTTCCCGAATGGATGGGCAGATTTAGCACTATCCATTGGCCGCCAAATAGCCCTGATCTAACTATAATGAATAGCTTTTTGTGGGGTCATTTAAAAGGAAAGTTTTCCGGAGAAATTAATTTAACCATTGACACAGAATTAAGGCAATTATTATGGAGGAAGTTGAACGCTTAAATACGGTAAATCAAGGATCCATATTAGCTGCTATTGAAAGGCAGAAAACGATATATCGAAAGTGAATCGAAATGAACGGATGTCACGTTGAGCATTTGAAAATTTGACTTAATTAGAAAATAGAAGAATGTAAGCATAGAGAAAGAATATAGAAGAACATTTAGTTCATATCATCGGCATAATTTTCATCTGTCTGATTGTCACGCAGCTTGCTTCCAAATTACACATTCTGTCTATCTTGTTTACATGTAAATGAAAATGAATTTATACTTGGGATAACTATCTGTCAACCAAATATTTCTGTATACTCCGCTTTGGCACGTCTTTTATTATAATTCGATTGAATATAGATTTCATAAATATTAGTTAAATATAGTTTTTTTCTTGGTGTCAAAAACATATCAGCTGACCCTTCAAAAGAGCCTAGGCATCGAAAATATGATACTAGTGTAAATTTGGACCGTCACTTGATTTTTGCTCCAAATCTCAAATTAGGTGCAAAAACGGGGTGGCCAATCAATATTGATTATTAACTCAAAAACAGTTAAAAATCATTATAGAACATTTATATCGAGTAGGCCTAGAATTGTGCGAATAGTTCGAATATGCAATAAAAAGTACGACATTCCATTTAAAAAAACGTAGTTTGGTCTGCCACTTGAATTTAAGTCACCCTGTATCAATTGGTATCATCTTAAAATAAACTAGAAGTTAGTATTGTCACGGAAATAGCATGGGGTACTCACGTTTGGAATGGGAGGATCAAAATTCATGGTATTTCAGTAAATGGGAGCCCCATTTACTGTCAAATATGACACTGACATGCGGGACGTTTCGCACCTGTTCTGGAGATTTCGAGAAGCATCTGGGTTACCTGAAGGAATCTATATAAGCGGCGAGGAGAACCACAAGGGGGGAGTGAAGTGACAGGAGCGACCGAGTTCAGAAGAGGAACCCCGCGAGTCAGAAGAGCGAGTTTTCCGTCTGTTATTGTTATTGTTTGTGAATTTGACGGTAATTTTGAAGTTAGCTTGTTCATGTTCCGTATTTAAAGTGATACCGAGTTGAATAAAAGTTAGAAGCTGAAGAAAGAGTTTGACAGTATCTACAACGGTCCAGTATCTACAACTTTTGTATTTAACATTTGTCTCTAAATTTCAAATTAGATGCAAAAACGGGGTGGCCAAAGTTCAATCAATAACCCTGTACATAAATCATTTAATATACATAACTATTTAATATAAAATAGATAATAATTAGTAATACCCAGATGATAGATTTTCATTACTTTTCCGATTCTCATCATTAAAGCGCGGAATATATGCAGTTAAATTCAATCAAAATATGCGCATATATATGCATAATTTTTATTCCAAATATGCAATTATATGCATTTATTTG